GTTTTAAAAGAGCTGGCCGAGGAGTTCGTTGGACCATTAGTTTCAATAAGATTTATTTTCAATAAGTCTTGGAGCACTGTGGAAGTTACAGAAGACTGGAAGAAAGCTAATGTCGTTCCAATTTTTAAAAAGGGTAAACAGGATGACAGAGTTAATTATCGGCCTGTCAGAATGACATCAATCCCAGGCAAGGTAATGGAGTGTCCGATATGGAACTCAATTAATAAAGAACTTAAAGGAGGGTAATGTAGTTAACACAAATCAACATGGGTTTATAGAAAAAAGATCCTGTCAAACTAACTTTAATTTTTTTTATGAGATTACAAGTTTGGTTGATGAAGGCAATCGTGTTAACATAATATACTTAGACTTCTGTAAGGCATGACATTTTGATTAAAAAACGAGATATAAAATTACACATTACGTGGATTAAAAATTGCCTAATTCATAGGTTTTAAAATACAACTAAAAGGGAAATTGTCATCGAGTGGGTCTATTTCTAATAGGGATTGGCCTTATGCTATATAACATCAATGACCTTGAAGGAAACACAAAATCATCATTGATAAAGTTTGTGGATGACACAAAAATTGGGGGAGTGGTAAATTATGAAGAGGACAGGTCACTGATTCAGGGTGATCTACATCTCTTGGTAGACTGGCAATCAAACAATATGCATTTTAATATGGCTAAATGTAAATATACAAAGAACAAAGAATGTAGGCCATACTTAGTGGATGGGAGACTCTATCCTGGGAAGCAATGACTCTGAAAAAGATTTGGGGGTCGTGGTGGATAATCAGCTGAACCTGAGCTCCCTAAAAAAATGAATGTGCTCCTGGGATGCATAAACAGGGGAGTCACAAGTAGGAGTAGAAAGATTATTTTATCCCTATATTTAGCACTGATGTGACCCACTACTGGAATACCATGTCCAGTACCCACAATTCAAGGAGGATGTTGATAAATTGGAAAGGGTTCAGAGAAGAGATTAAATGAGAATGATTTAATGGTTAGAAAACATGCCGTACAGTAACTGAGCTCCTTGAGTCTATCTATTTAGCTTAACAAAGAGAAGGTTATGTGTGACTTGATTACAGTCTATAAGTACCTACATAAGGTACAAATAGTTGGCTCTTCATTCTAGCAGAGAAAGGTATAACATGATCCAGTGGCTAGAAGCTGAAGCTAGACAAATTCAGATGGGAAATAAGGTGTAAATTTTTAACGGTGAGAGGAATTAACCATTGGAACAGTTTACCAAAGGTCATGGTGGAGTCTCCATCACTGAAAACTTTTAAAGCAAGATTAAATATTCTTCTGAAAGTTCTACTCTAGAAATTATTTTTTGGCAAGTTCTATGGCCTGTGCTATACAGGAGATCAGACTAGATGATCACAATGGTCCCTTCTGGCCTTACAATCTATTAATATTTTAACTAGGGAAACAAGGACTGGGAAAAAAAGGGATAAAACTGAGGAATCAGAGCAGAGAAGAAAAACATAATGTAAGGATAGACAACAGGAGAAAACAAAGGAGAAAGGGTGAAAGAAAGAGAAGAACAAAGAGGAGAAGCAGTATAACTGATGGAGAGGCAAAAGGTTGAAACAGAGGAGAGTCAAGGAAAGATGAAGATGGTCTGCCTGTCAGCACCAGCATATACCTGTTACAAACAGGAATCCTCCCTTCCATTTTTACAGTCAGAAAGCTAGTAGTCACTGCTTGAGGCCTCCAGAATGGGTGGATTAAATCAGGTGGTAAAAAGGAGAGGTACTTATGCCAACTATCCAAGGAGTTTGAGGTGAAGATCAAAACCCAGAGGCTATCCACCCACCCTTTTATTTAAGCACTGGAACACTTTCAGGTTGAATCTGTTTCACAGGAATCTTCCAAGAGAAGTTCTTTGGACCCCTCACTAGCTTGGAAATTTTAACTCTGCAGCAATTTGGCTCTTCATCTTTCCCATCCTTGGTGCAGAGTCCATATCTACCCATGTCTGAATTAGGCCTGCCTCTCCTAACTGACACCATCTTCTCCAGGTGAAGATCAGAAACCTCCATGTCTATAGGCAAGAAATCATCCAGTGGTCCATCCCAGAGTCTTATGTGCCCAGTCACATTCCAAAACTTCTCTGAAGTTAACTTTCCTCCCCCCGCCCACCAAAAGGCTGTGGAATTGAAAGTGTAGGGAATCACTAAGACCACATCAGTCATCACTGAAATGTCAACTTTCCTCCCCATCATTCCCACAGATCCCCATCATTCTCTGCCAGCCTCTGATGGAAGAAGCAGACGGGAAGAAAACTTGACTATAAGTGATGAAAATCACGAGCCTATACCCTGGCTGTGAATGAAAGAGAGAAAACTCAATTCTATTCAACCCTAGCAGCCATTAAACCCTACCTTGCCAAATGATTTTGACTACCTCTAACAAACAACAACAACAACAGCAAAAGCCTAGTCTCTGCAGACTGGCGTGGAAAGAGAAAAATACATAATTAGGTGTACATTTCCTAATTTTGTAAAATGTTTATATATGACATTGGTGGGAGCTGCATAAGAATCTAAAGGTTAGATACCCAGTGTGTGCATTTATCTATATCCTCTATACAAATATAGATAGATATAGATGTAATTGTGTGTGTATTTTATATATATTTTACACATATATATATTACACACACACAATTTCATTAAAAGAACATTATTAAAGTTGCAAAGTCAAGTGCTCAATCATTGGAAATGGCAGAATGTTGCCTGTGCCACCCTAATGTGGACACGTATGCATTATGATACTGTCTTTAACTACATTATCACATTTTACTATTTCCACAGGCCCCTGCCTCATTCAATGCACAGAACGCACTGTACTTACTTAATGAGCATCTTCAACATTTTTTTCTCCTCATTGTTCAGTGTATGAACCAGGCCTTTTTTTACTGCACACTATTCAAACCCTGCTCTGATGACAGAATTATTTATTTCTTCCTGGGGTTTTCTATGGAGCTCATCACTATAGTATCGGAGTGCTTCTGCGTATACTAATTTACTTCCACAATACCTCTATGAGCTGAGGGGATGAGGCCGAGGGGATGAGGGCGAGAGATTAGGGTCAAATGTTTCCACTAATCTTAGGTGCCCAATTTCAGACAACTAGGACCTGATTTTTCAGACTACTCAGCATTATAAAGTACTTTATATGGTCAAAGCCCAGCTGCCAAGACATTGGTGACAGGTGTGGGTGCTCAGTAGAGCCAGTTGGAAATTTTCTGACAAAAAATATTTCTGTTGGAAAATGCCAGTTTATCAAAAGCGAAACCTTCCACAGGAATGTGTTGATTCTGATATGTCTTTTGCAGGAGCCAGGAAGTTTCCTGCTGGCTCATCTGCTTACCTTCCCAGCTCCTAGCAGGCACCATGATTTCTGGGACTCCCAGATGCCAGGCACCATGGCAACTTACCTGGAGGCGCCTGTGGAGCTGAGGAACTCAGGGCTTCCAGACTCCTGGCAGGCTGCTAAGCAGTCAGAAAACCCTGGGAACCTCAGCTCCCTAGCAGGTCAGGTACCAAGCTACCAGGGCTTCCTGGGAAGCCAGGAACCTGGAAGCCCTGACTGAGCCTTGCTTCCCAAGTGCCCCAGCTCCTTGGTGAGCCAGGGCTCCCAGCTGTGGGGAGCTTGGAACATGGGGACCTTATTTCATTTTGGAAACACTAATTTGTTCTTGCTGCAGGTGTTTCCATAACAAAATATTGCCGACTTCCAGCTCCATGAGAAATTCTGAGGTTTCAGATTTTTGTCTCCATTCTATGTATAAGTTTTAATGGACTTATAGCTATGGAAATGTCACAATATTCTTGATATCTTTAGTTAGCCTTAGTTTGGGGAGTCTTCATTTACTATGATTTTTAGCTTATTGGAGTGTTTCCTTATATATATATCAACTTAAAGCTACAATATATATTGCCATGGTAGTACTTATTTAGACTACCTTAGATCTTGATTTTAGAGAACTGCCAGATTTACAAAATCCAATCATTCCAATTCCTTCCTCCTCTTTTGGGGCCTGATCCTGCAGACATAAGCATATGCCTAAAGGAACTACTTACATGCATAAATTATACGTGTGCTTAAGTCTCTGCAAGATTTGCATT